GGTGCTGTGAGGTATTGTAATGAGCCATCAACTGTTCCTCTGAGACTCTGGTTCTCCTACATGTCCTCTGTTGTAACTGAAAGCATATTCTCTGTCTTGGATAAACTACAGTTACCCAACTTATCAAATTTCACTGAGCACCTAATTGTGGGTAGTTGAATCCCAAAGTAAGTGTGAGTTGATTGTAAAGGAAGCTTAGGTAACTATTTCAAAGAGTGAGGCCTTGGCATTGCTTCAATTATTTATACATAGTGATTTATTGCCATCTGAGGTGCCCTACAGTATTCAAGACGTCTGACTAGAATTGGTAGATAATGCACAGGATCTAAGAGAGACTCATGGTCTTTGGAAGAGACACATGGAGGCCGTAGAATAGGACCATGAGATAATTCCAGCTGCAAGGGACAAAAGGAGTTTAGCCTAACCTCCTGCTCAAAACAGAGCCAGTTCTGATGTCAGACCATGACAGTCAGGGCTTTTTCCAGTCAGGTCTTGAAAATCTCTCAGGATGGAGCCTGCACAGTCTCTCTGAGCAACCTGATCCACTCTGTGGCTAACTTCATGGTGTAAATGCTCCTCCTGATATGTAGTTTGGACTTCCCTTATTTCTATTTACACTCTCTTGTCCTCCCATCACACACCTTTCTGAAGAGCTTGGCTCCATCTACTCAAAAAACATCCTCTAAGTACTCGGGGGTTCTTGCTATGTCCCTGTAGTCTTCTTTTTTCCAGGCTAAACAAACTCCATTTTCTCAGCTTATTCTCATGTGAAACATGATCCAGTTCCTTAATTTGTAGCCATTTTTTGAACTCACTCCAATATGTCCATCTCTCTTGTTCTGGGGAGCCTAAACCTGGAAAGAGCACTCCAGATGTAGCCTCACCAGGGGTGAGGAGTGAGGGAGAATCACGTCCTTCAACCTGATGGTAACAGTCTTCATAATGCAGTTGGCATGATGTTGACCTTTGCTACAAGGACACATTGCTGATTCTTTTTTAACTTGTTGCCCACCAGTATGCCCAGGTACTTCTCTATAAAGCTTGTTTCGATCTAATTGGTCCCCAGTGTGGGGATCAAGTACAATATCACATGAAAAACTTCTAAATATTTTTTTGCATAATGTTCTGCTAAATCATCATATATTTTCTTAAGAAAGTGTTTCTTACTGAAGGCTGTTTGTAGGATTCAATAACAATATTAAATTTGTGATAAATAAATTGACAAAGAAGGAAGAATGTAAAATGTGCATGGAATAGCTGTAACATTTAGCAGGTCATTACAAGAGGAAACACAGTCTTTTCCACCTATCTCACGAATATTGTAGAAATTTACTGGTGACATAAAATGCCTGCTGTCATCTTCATAAAAGAAACAAACAGAAATTCCACTGTAGCAATAGTAGTGACACCGTAGTGATGGGCTGACTACTGTAATTAAAATTATCTGGGATTTTTTTTGTGATCCTGAGATCTGATGCAATATAGCAAGAAGTGTTTGTGAATCAAGCCCTCAGAATTAATCTAATAACACTTTCACTATGAATAAGTGAATAAAGAGATAAAGATATTTGCAAAAGGTCTTTGTAAAATGTAGTTGGATGAGTCTGGGAAAGGCTTATTTCATTTTCTTCAGAAATTGTGCAGCTGTTTTAGCATCAATTTTGCAGTCCCTATTCTTCCTATTGTGCCTTTTCTTCTATTGCTTCTGGCAACATTTTACAATACCTCTAATTTTAACCCTGATTCTTAAAATTAAAGAAAAACCTTTTGAGACTGATACTGTTTATTCTGTTTATTAACTTTTTTCAAAGGTCCTAAAATTTATGAAGAACAGAAATAGATTAGCTCTTAAAAAGATAATTATTCACTGAAAAAAATTAAAGCTAGATCTTGATTTCAAAATCATTATAATTTCTAATTTCATAGAATCATAGAATCCCAGGTTGGAAAGGACCTCAAGGATCACCTAGTTCAAACTTTCTTTGAAAAATCACTGTCTGGAAAAGATGGTCCAACACCCTGGCCAATTGAATCTTAAAGGTGCCTGATGTTGGGGAATCCACCGCTTCCTTGAGGAGATTATTCCAGTGCCTGATGGTTCTCATTGTGAAAATTTACCTCTAATGTGCAGTCAGAATCTTCCTAGGAGTAACTTATACACATTACTCCTTGGCTTTTCCATGTGACTTCTTGTAAAAAGGGAGTCTCCATCTTCTTTGTAGGCACCCTTTCAATACTGGAACACAGTGATAAGGTCTCCCCTGAGCCTTTTCTTCTCAAAGCTGAACAAACCCAGTTCTCTCAGCCTTTCCTCATACAACAGGCTTCCCAGTCCATTGATCATTTTTTGGTCCTCCCCTGGACCCTCTTGAGCCTGTCCACATTGTTTTTGTATAGCAGTGACCAAAACTGTACACCATATTCCAGGTGTGGCCTGACAAGCACTGAGTAGAGTGCAGTAATGACTTCTTTATCTCTGCTGGTGCTGCACTTGTTGATGCAGCCCAGCATCCTGTTGGCTTTCTTTATCTTTTCAGCGCACTGTTCACTCATATTGAGGTTGTAAAATTAAATGTAAAATAATTATGTGTTTTATAAATCATATATATATTAAAAATAATAATCAAAACATAAAGAATTTGATCGATATGAGTAAATATATGAAAGATAAGCTTTTACTGATATAAAATAACTGTATTTTCATATAGTTATTTATATAAACTATATGTGTATATATACACACATATTCACACATATATACGTGTGTATATATAATATATATACACCTATGCATATATATATGTTTATATATAGTTATTTATAGAAGACTATACATTTTGTAAGAGATTTTTTTTTTTTTTTTTGAACTTTGGAACAAGTAGAGTTGGAGACGTAACTTCCATTTCTGTGTTATGAAACGATGAAAACATTACAGATTGTGTAATTATTTGTGCATGAAACAGAGCATCTTTACGCTGTACTTCAAAGTCTGATTTACAGTCCATGCAAGAAGCAAAATATCAAGAAAATCTTAACTATAATCCCCAGACTGCAAAGGGCCTTGTCTGCTTCCACATATTTGGTGGAAGCTTATGTAACCGTATAATTTAAAACTCCCAGCAAATGATATTAATTTGTCTTTGGGGGAGGTATAAAGAATATTGTGTTCCTGACTGGATTAATGCCTGAAAATTGCATCAGGCCGGGAAGTCCCATGAAAATTAAATAAACTATTAGTACTATGCAGTGCAGCATGTATGTTCTCAGTCACACGACATGAGTGGCCACAGAGGGTGTAACCCTCTCTGTTTTACACCATGTAAATTTATGCAGAAACACAGGTTTTTTGATATCACTTTTGATATCAGGTGGGCTCAGATTACTGTCCTGAAATGCATTCAGTAGAAATACTGTAATACTTATTACTAGGTTTAATTTTTCTCTTGGCTAAAAGATCAAAAGTCAGTGCAACATTTTTGTCATTTTGACTGGCATTTATTATTGTTTTAAATCTATTGAAGAAGTTATTTGACTTCAGTCAGTAGACATCGATGAGATCTGTAAAATAAGTCTCAATGAATCTCACTGTTAAAGTTATTTCTAATTTTAAAATACACCTCATAAGAAAAGATGTTGCTTCAGCCTTTTTCCAGGTGTGTAGCTTTCAGATAACATAAGAAATATTTAAGTGTGCAAGGGGGAGTTAATCACTATTGGGAATGGTTTTGAACTAGACTCGGAGTTGATTAATATTTAACATGAAGGCCTGGCTGATGTTTAAAACAGGGGATTATGTTCTTTGCATTTCAGTTAAAAACATGTGTTCCTACCTTACTATAAAAACTTTAAATATCCAGAACCTGTAGCATGTAAACATAGTCATGCTCCACCACCTGTAAATTAAATTTGTCAGTTCTGAATTATTTTTATTACTCAGCACAAATTTTAAGCAGGTATATTTAATTTATAATTGGCTGAAATTATAGCCCCGTTCAAATATAGTATATTTTGTTTTCAGTAGAATTAACAGTTCTGTGAAATACAGGGTATATATCCATGAGGCTGTACATGGAACATATGTTATAGATAAATAATCAATGTTCACTTTTCAGTGCAGTGTTCTGTTTCTGGGAAATTAAAACTGTGGGCACAATCTCTTCCCTTCTAAATTGAAATTACAGAAGTAGTAGTGAATTCCTAGCCCACTGCTAAAATATTTAACATCTGTATTATGGATGTAATTGTTCTGAAAATGTCTACTAAGAAGAGTCTGAGATGTGGTGTACAGAAGATATGAGGGTGATCCATGAAGATATGTTTCAGTCCATCACATTACCTTTATTTCTTATTTACACCTGTAAATCTCACCGGACGTTATAAAATAATTCCTTAACAATATTAGAAGAAAATAAATTCTGTCAATGTTCCAAGAGGTTGTTTGTCACTCATAGGAGGAAGTCTACTGCTTAAGATAGAGAAAACATTAAGTACCACATTTTAGGAGGAATCAAAAGATTCAGCTTAATATAGACATTCTTCAGTGCAGTGAAGACTGTCTCATCTGTGCTAAAATCAGAACTACTGAAAGAGAGAAACATACACTATATAAATACAAAAATAAAAAGGCATTTCTGTTATGTTCATTTTAATACACATTATAACATTCTCTCTTATTTACTAGGTACTGTAAAATAAAAGTACACTAAATTAGAAAAAAAATGAAGGAGGAATTGAAAAGTAGATGAACAATCATGAAAGGAACATCAAGGGCACAAGCACAAAATGATGATTTCCGGTTACAGTGCTTGAAAGCAATTAGACTGAGGAGAGATATTGCTCTGTTTATTTACCAACAGTAAATCTCTCTAGCTGAATAGGTAGTTACATCTTATAGTACAGCTCAGATTTGTTTCCTCTTAGCTGCAGAAAGAATTGCAAACAAAGGTGGCAGAACAGTTTCTTGTCTCATAGACAAGTGATTTTCCTACCTGTCTTTTATTTACGCCTCTGTCCACAAAATGTGTCCGATGGAATGAGTTCTAATGGAAGAGAAGATGTCTGTTGTTGGTGTTCTTATACTTAAAATAACTTGCATACTGAATGAATCCCATGATAAGCAAAAGGAATTAAAAGAAAGAGAGTACGTGTATCATGCATGTGAACATTTATCTTTTGGTATTTTTTTTTAAATAGTGAAGATGCAATTGGTTTAATTAACAAAATGAGAAAACAACAAATTAAATAAAAGCTCCTTGTTTTTTCCTTAAAAACTGAGTGTCAGATTTTATTTCCTTTTACCTATAATGCACTTTCTTCCCCATCAAGAAAACAATCAATTATTTAAGGAAAAAAAAAAATACAATGATGGCATGGGGTGAGCTTCATATTCGTGTTCAGAACACATTTCTTTATGTTCAGCAGTATTTCCTCTTTATTTGACATGTTACACCACTGATATAGCACTGTTAGGGCCAGAAGCATAATTATATCAGCATCTTAGGAAAAGCAGAAGCAGTATTTCTTTGACATGTTTACCTTTTAAGAATATATTCTGTATGCCATGCATTGTAAGTATTTGGATTAATTTTGCACTTAATAACCATGCCACAGCTTCTTTGTTTTCAAAATTATTCTGAGCAGGTACTGAAAGAAAGAAAGGAGAGATGTGTTACAACACTATTAGGTGAAAAAAAAAGACATAGCTTTTTTTTTTGCACATTACTCTGGTACTGTTAATTACTTACTGTTATCTGATTAGCTTCTTCTGCTGGAAAGCTGCATGTGGGATATAGACTTCAAAATACATGCTAAGTTAGAATCCTAAAATCTGGGGATACAGATAGAACAGCTCATGTTACCAACTCAAACTCAGTAAAATTGCCTTCCCTTGACTGTTCAAGGCTGCTGAATTCCAACATCTGTAAACTCGCTGGGAAAACTGCATGAAGTAGTGTCTTTACTGCAGAAAAAAAAAATATTGTTTTTCCTTTAGTTTTACTAAAAATGAGTGAGGTAACACCAATTTAGAATTTATGAAGAAAAATGTATTGTGATTCATGTAATTCACACACCAAATTTGAGCCCAGGGCTAAACATTTTTGTATAAATGCTTTTCCCTTTTACTTTATTATAACAAAAGTTTTGAGTATTTTTTTATTGGAAGTATTTTCAGATCCCTAAATTCAGCTTTATAGTAGGTGGAAGCACAATTGAAATTGAAAAGAAGGGATAATCTCTTTAAATATCAATTTAAATAGTTTTATACTATCAATGTAAAAAAATTGCTTTAGAATAAACTGTCAGCATTACTTCTTCATTCTACTGATTTAAATGTTAATTATTTTGCTTTCAAATTTAAAATTTTGAGTGTTGGTAAAGATAACTTCGCTTTGAAGTTAATCTTGTCATGAAATCATAATTATAAAAGTGCATATATAATCTTCAGATTAGCTGGAATTCTGGTAATATTATTTTTACAACAGCTAAAATAAGTGGCATCCTAGTGGTTAACACCTTAATTCACTTGCTAAAAATATATGAGTTACTGGTAATGGTCCATATAGTACCCTTAAACACAATGTTGTAATTCTGCAAAGAGAATCTGTTGTATGAAAGTAAACTGTTTCACTTCAATATTTGCTGGTGGGATGCTCACTTCTTTAAATTAACATTTAAAAAATTAGCCTTATTATCAAATCCCAGCTCTATTACAGACATTCACCAGATTCATGCTGTATGTAGGGACTTGAAGGTTTTCCTAAGAGAAATAAATACTTATTTCAAATCAGATGTTATAAATTGAGACCACAATGGATCATAATCCAATTATAATTTTATTAATTATAGCAAGTAGAATATGAGCAAAGACAGCGCTGGACGGCAGGGGAGTCTGCGCTCCGCCAACTGCCGTACTGATCAGTTCAAACAGTTCCTTTTTATACATTTTTACATCCGTGGTTGTCTTTGATCAGTACCCCTTCTGCTTGCACAAGTATCTGGTTTGTGTAAGCAATTGCGGTTATCTTATCTCACGCGGTCATCTTGTCTCACAGGTTATCTTGTCTCTCACAAGCGGTGTCTGGCAGCTATTTGCATAAGCAGTTTTTTTGTCTTTTGCCGCCTAACCTTTACATTGAGCTTAACATAAATTTCAATAAACAATACCCTTAGTTCATAGTTTCTTACAATCCCCCCTTTTTCTTTTATCCTATTATTGTTTATTAGATGCTACTTTCATTTTCGTCACTGCAAACAAACCTTTTTCCACAATTCCAACATTTATCATAACACTCTCAAGATAATACCTTACAATTACAATCATAGTTTTCACGTGGCATAACGCATTCACAACAATCTTTTCCACCAGGAAGCTCCTAATAGATCATCCCACCATTCTGAGTCTAACATTGAGGGTGTTTTCAGAGCACCATAGGTAAAACAGCTCTTATTCTATCTGCTATGTGCAGTTGTCGCCTTAATGTTTTTGCCGTGTGTTATTTATTCCTTGCTTTGTTCAGTTAATCCAACAAGTTGTGACCAACATGCAATTTGCTACTACTGTTTCACCTGTTGGCGTTAAGCAAATTCGAGCTGTGTGCCGAACTGCACAGTCAACCGTACTATCAGACACTCTGTAAACAATAATCAACAATTTATTAGCAAACAAGAACCTGAAATAATTAACTGTATAACAATCCAGCAAAGTCCCACGCGACACAATCAGAAAGAGAAAAAGTAAGAACCAAAGATATCAGCACTGTCCTTTGGATGTTGTCCTTCGATGTCTTGTTACCCTTACTCACGGGGCGGTAGCGATAGAAAGACAGAAAGAGTCCAAGAACAACAGTCACGCGCCGCGCGGTAACTCCTCTGATCAATAACATTTTCTTCTTTGAACTATAAGTCTGTTTCCATCACCTCATCAAGGTTTCGAGGGCGTCTTAGTTGTCTTCGTGATCTTGGAGGATTGGGGGGAGGAGGTGATCTCCGACACCAGCCACGAGACATTCCCTCGCATACCGCGATGGCAACGACAGTCACCACCAATATAATGAAAAATCCCAACAGCAGGGCGGCGCACACGGGATCGTCCCCTACTCCCATCTTCCCAAGATTGCAATCCAGCGGGATCAGTAAGATTAGTGGGATAGTCCAGCCCCAGGCTAGCGGCTTGACCGAGGAAGGTCCAAGTGCGCAATGAGCGGAAGTTTCTCTTCCACCCAGAATGCCTGTGCTGCCTAGATCTGGGCGGGCCTGGCAGTTGTTTTTGCCATCCGGGTATAGCCGAACTTTCGAGACCCTCCAACAACACATGCGCTTTGGACTGGGGGCGTGGAAATCCATCTTCCTGCTGTGTATGTGGACCCTGACTCCTGATCCCTACAGACCAGGCAGGTTCTCCACTCCCGCTCTCACTCTTGTACCTCCGATACCGCGAAAACAATGGAGCGTGCTTATGCATGGGCAGCAATTTATTGTGCAGCCTCGATGTTGGTAGCCCTCACTTTGTTTGCCTTTTTTACTACATATCTTTTGCCCTTGTAAATGTTCCTCTTTCAAGTACCCATGTAGTTGTATCTGCTTATGTAAACCACCATCTCCTTTGGTTAACCATGTTGAAAATTCTGTTATAGGTCTTTTCGGCGGTTTTGGTACTGGCTGTTTTACTTCTGTCACATCTTTTACTTGGATTCTCTTCTTCCTACTAAAATATCTCCATCCACCCTTCTGTCTTTGGGAAAGCAAAGCCACTCTCATGTTGGACATAACAGTAAAGCACTTGCTGCACAAATTTGCCACTATTAAAGCAAACCATACCAGGATGATTAGCAGAGGTCCGGTATAACATATACTCCCACCTCTCATGCCTATGGGGTTGCAGCCCACAGCTGAGAAAAAGGTCTTCTTGGTGGCGAGCACAGAGGTTAACCCGGTCTTGCCCTCTACTGTTTAACAAATCCGTGTGTTAAGAGTTAGTCAATTCAAGTGCAGCTCCTTTGTAGCCACTTCCTTTGTTTCTAAGCAAAGCAAAATTTTGGCACTTTCCGATAGTGTCCTCCCATCAACTCTCAGGGACATCACAAATTCTGGGGACTAACCTCTTTTTCCCCGTAAATCAAGGTTACAGTTCATGCCCCTTCCCTATACAGTTATAAGACAATTTTCTCCATCTGCAAGAAATACCACATCCGGTAACACATTTCACATTCACACAAAACCCACGCTTCATGACATCCATACATACACTCGAGACAAGGTATTACCCAATTAGGTTGATTTTCTAGCAATGCCTAATTGACTCCAAAATGCTCATAATCTGTTACCAAAAGCCACTCTGTAACATGTCTGTCAGTTAATGCTTGGTAAACTCCAGCTTTTCCCTGACAGTTTTTTTGTTTGTTTGTTTGTTTTTTTGTTTTTGTTTCCTTATACAGCAAGTAAGTAAATGAATAAGTAAATTTTCACAGTGTTACCTCTGAGCCCAGTTAAAAACCCAGTCAAACCACTGGTTAAGAGTCATTCAATCCCCTCCTGATGAATTTACTTAGTCCTTTGAGGGTGACTTGTAGTTGGTCAGTTGATGGTACCACAGTCCACTCCTGAGGCTTTTCCACCGGTCCTTTTCCTCAGGAGGCAAGAGTCCACCCCTTTTCTTTTGTTCGGATCGCTGTCTCGGTGGTCAGCAGCACCCGAAATGCACCTTCCCACTCGGGAGTTAATGATTAATCTTTCCACACTTTTATCAATACCCAATCACCTGGTTTTACATTGTGGATATTAAAAGCCAATAGTGGTATTTGAGGCAGAAGTCCTTTCTTTCTTAATTTCATTAAAGTGTTACCAATTCTTATTACATACTTTCTTACATATTGATCTCCTACTTCAGGGATGACAATATCCCTGTCATTACTCATACATGGTAATCCAAGCATCATTTCATAGGGAGAAATACCCAGGTCTGTTCGTGGCTGAGTATTGATCCTTAATAAGGCCAATGGCAGGCATTTAATCCAAGACATCTGAGTCTCAATCATTAACTTAGTCAAGGTTTGTTTTGAAGTTTGATTCATTCTTTCTCCTCTTCCAGAACTCCGAGGATGCCATGGGGTGTGCCATGCCCATTCGATCCCTAAGGCTTCAGATAGCTGTTGTATATAATTTTTAAAATTAAATGTGTTCCTCCGCCCAAGTCTATTCTTTCTATTAATCCATATCTGGGGATAATGTTTTCCAGTAACACCTTGGATACCATGCTTGCCATTGCCCTTGGTGTGGGGGATTGCTTCCACCCAATGAGTTAAGTGAGCCACTAATACCAACAAATACTTTCACCCTTGTATTTGAGGTAGCTCTGTTAAGTCTACCTGGAGGCTTTGTATGGCTAGCTCCTATTCCCCAGCCACCCTTTTTTTTTTTATCTCATTACCTTTTTGTTCACTTTTTAACAAATCAAACATCGATCAACTAGTTGTTTAGCCACCATATATATATTCCTATACACCCATATTGTCTAAGGAAATGATCACAAAGTGATTGTGTTCCCCAATGTATTTTCTAATGTATTAATGACAGAATTTCTCATGATCTGAATTTCTCATGATCTTGTTTTGTTTAACATCTGCCTTCCATCTGCTAAAGTCCATTTTCCTTCTGAATCTTTTCCCCCCTTATTTTTAAGTATATCCTTTTCTTGTTCTGTGAAATTTGGGGCTAAATTCTCATAATCCCCTGGTATTATTACCAATAAAACTACCAATGATGATTCTGTAGCTGCTTCTCTGGCTACTTAATCTGCTAAATTATTCCCCCTTATTTCCATTGATGCTCCCCTCTGATGTCCTTTCACATGCACAATTGCAATTTCTGTGGGGAGCTTCAGGGCTTCTAAAACTTCTCTGATCAGCCGCTCGTGTACTAGCTCCTTCCCTTTTGTATTTATAAGCCCTCTT